AGGTGTACAGTGTTTTAGTTTCAGACATATAATGGACAAAATCAAAATGACACATCAAACTTCCCTTCTTACTTTCTATGATGTTTTGGGAAGTAATTGCCACAATGCATCTTGGGTCTAACTGAAACAGCCTCTGTTTTTCAGGGGTAAGACCTCGTACATCTTGACCCCCTAGACCCCAATAGAGCTGGGATTATACTGGGTTGTTGTTGTTGTTGTTGTTTTGAGGAACTAATATTTTCATTATAGCTGTTACTGATTTCATCTTGACAATATACTGGTTTCCAGCTCTTTAATCTATTGCGGTTTACCTTTTTATTTATGATCTTGTTGAGATGAGGATCAATGCCCAGATGAAATGAATTCTGTATATTCATCTCATTATCTCTCTCAGAAAGGTTGCCATAGGGACATCCCGCACAAAAAAAATGCCACTGCTTTTTTGCATGTATTTATGCTGTTAAGTAAATATATACTCCGTACAATATAATGGTTCTCAGTACATTTTTTTAATACAATTAACCTTGTTGTTTATGATTTCATTGGCATGAGAAATAATACCCAAATGAATTTAATTCCTTATATTCATCTCATTATTTATTAAGAATGTTGCTACAGGAAGGACATCCTGCCTAAATCAGTGCCACTGTATTTTTTGCATGCATGTATGCTGTTAAGTAATTTTATACAATTAACTGACACTAGATTTAATGATGCCAACCTAACTAGCTGGGATTAAAGTGATGGTGATAATTGTGATGATTTTCTTTCCAATTTTCCTTTGTCTCTCTTTCTATTTCCTATCCTTAATATTTTCCAGGTATCAAATGGGCCCTTATAGATGTATGTTTTTCTTTTAAATTAGTTTTATCTTTTATGATGTATAAGGCTTGCATTATTATGTCACAGAGATTGTTCCTGGTAGCCCTCATATCTTGACATATGTATGGTTTGAACTGACTCACCCTTACATTTAAAAATTTAATAGTGGGCACATATTTGATTAATTTTAGCAAAATGCAGTCTGTGCATGAAGGCCGTATATACCAGCTGAAGTTGTTCTGCGACAAAGATTACCCAGAGAAGCCACCCACTGTTCGTTTCCATTCTCGAATCAACATGACCTGTGTGAATTCTGAAACAGGAATGGTATGCCACATGCAACAAAAAAAACTACACGTTTATTTAAATGGATCTTATCAAAGTATTGTGAGCCTAATGTGTCTGCAATTTGGTTGCATAGGTTGAACCGAAGAAGTTTAGTCTTCTAGCGACTTGGCAGAGACAGTACACCATGGAAGACATTCTGACACAGCTAAAGAAGGAGATGGCAGCTTCACATAACCGCAAGCTAGTCCAGCCACCGGAAGGCACGTTTTTCTAGTCAACCAACTAAGTCATACAATTTATGTGTGGAACTGTAATTCTGTGTCATGTTAACATTGAAAGTTCTATGTAGGATGCAAATGCTCTGTCACTTTGCTTATCATGGCTTCCCTATCCCCACCCCCTTCTAGTTTCTCACAACAAGTTTACAGGATGCTCAATGCTGCACTGTTTGGTTAATTTGGATTTTCCGGTGTGCTGAACAAGTTTTACATAAAACATGAGTTGTTTCATTGGCATTTGTTTCTCTAAGCACGTGCTTTATGTATAGATACTTTGTATGGTCATATTATGTTTATATATATGGATTTCTTTTATGCCTAAAGGAGATTGAGCTCGGGCGGTCGCTCTCTCTCCCTTCCTTAAAGGGTCACCCAGTTTAGTCCAATCCCGCATTTTGGTGGGTCCTTCATGGATCCTTTGAACTTTGATGTCTTTGTTACTGCCTTGCTTTGAGCGCGGGCACCAAGTGGGGCCACTAGACCTGTTGTCAAAGTTTGCATCGGAAGGTATGATGGCTTTTGGTTTCTATTTCCATGTTTGGTAGGGCAAGAAATGTAGAGGAAAGAAAAACAAAAGAAAACAGAGATGCAATGAAGCATTTCTCATGTTTGGTATGTTCCACACATCCTTTTCATTTTCTTACCTATCAAACAAAGTCCTACAGAGAGGGAAGATGTTAGAGATGAATCTCCAAACTCCAATTATTTCTCTCTTTGCCAAACAACACCCAAGGTCTACCCCATTTCTCTCCCAACTAAATATTTGGTAGGGTGGTGGTTGAAAAAAGATAAATAGATATGATATTTGGTTTGTAGGAATTGTATAGAGATGCATTGCATGTGAAGGGTCGGTCAGTGGTTTGGAAGTCTAAGTTGGGTTTGATGCCATCATGACTTTGTCACTTTGAGAGGCAGGCATACCGTAGCAAATGTATTTATTACTCCCCCCCCTCTATTTTTAATCTTCCCAATTTGACTTTTAAAGTTAATTTTTTTGAAGTTCCGACTACAAATTACAGAAAAAAATATTTTTAAGATATAAATTTAATATTGATAAGTTCATTTTAAAATATTGCATTTTCATAATATATATATGTATATATGTATAAATAAAGATATTAATAATCAAAATATTGTATTGAAAACCGTAAAAAGATAATTGAAAAGATTCAAAATAAAGAGAGAGTTATATTAGAGCAGTGGCAGCGGGCGAGGCAAATGCTTGCCACATCAGCTCCCAATTTTTTTTGCCATGCTTAGCATGGAGAAGAAGGTCATTCCCCAACGGTGAACAAGTCACTTGCAAGGCATCCCATGCCTCTTTTTCTTTTTTTTTGATAAAAAAAACTCTTTTTTGTAAGGAAGTAGAAGTATATATTTTTTTAATGAAACAAATAGCAAAAATTATTTTTAATAATTAAAATACATTACAAAAATTTTTAAAAGTGACAAAAGTAACGACTTGCCACTGTAGGGTGCGCCACTCTACTCACTTGCCACTCTCTGACTCGACCATTTTTTATTGCTTGATTTATGCCATGTCAGCGTGTGGCATTCTTTTTTTTCCTTACCATTGTTCATGCTCTTATTATGGCTTTCATAAATGGGGAAGATGATCTTAGTGGGTCTTATTGTTCCTATTCTAATGAAGAAGCACACAAAAATGTCTTGTGCTTGTTGTTCTTTTAACTCTCAATATATAAAAGGGACATACTTTGCTTAAAGAAAAATGCAATATTAAAGAAACAATAGCCAAGTTCACAAGACTGCACCGCGATCAAACACTCGTGAAGCCTCCTCTTACTACAAATATCTATTGATCTCTTCCATGAAGTAAGAAAAAATAAATCAAAATTGTAGACTTGGCTAAAATTTTAAACATCATAATCTAAAACGAGAATATTAAATAGGAACGTAGGGAGTAACTCATATGCCGAATACAAATTATGCTAAATACACTTCATCCGTCTAGAAATTAAGTTGAAATCTTACAAAAAAATAAAATAAAATAAAAATATGCTTAAAGGAAAACTAAAAAATAAACTATTTCATTTAGATTCATTTTGAAGATAAATTAAAATGTACGAAGTAATGGAATAGTTGTATATGCTCCGTATGCTATATAGTACTCCCTCCGTCCCAAAATGTCTTTTCTGTTTCATTTTTTGTGCATCCCATAAAACACTTCTAAGGATATCTAAAATGCCTAAAATTTACAAAATTTCTTCTTTATTATGGGTAGAAGTTATTTTGAAAGTTTTTTTGGTAATCAAGACGGGATAGAAGTGTTTTATGGGATGCGCAAAATGAAACAGGAAAGACTTTTTGGGACGGAGGGAGTATTTGAGAATTCTAATTTTTTATAGAAATAGTGAAATACTGCTAACAATAAAAGATTCGAGAATAACGCGCTATTACATACAGAGTATATTATTGTAAGAGAATATTACGGTATTTTTTGGGTTCTTATGATACATATTGTCATCATATTTTGTTTTCATCAACAAAGGTGATAACTGGCTATTGTATATTATCATTGTCCTATAAATGATTTTCCATTTTTCTTTTTTATTCATCCGAAACAAATTTCTCACTTTTTTCTCTTTTTTATGTAGTAGAAAAGAATATGTGTTCAAAATACTTCTCTTATCGAACTGAATTTTAAATACTCACTTATTAATATTCAAATATTTTACCAGGAGTAATGTATAAAAAAGTCTAGGTGAACAAATAAAATACTCAGATATACTCCCTCCGTCCCGAAAAACATTGGAGTTTTGATTTTGGGGAGGGATTTAATGAGAGTGTATTTTGGTATTGAATTTCCAAAAATGTCCTTTGATGTGATGGATAAAAGTATGATTTGATGGATAGATTATTAGTAAAAAGGTATGATGTGATAGGTAGGGTATGAAAAAGTAATGGGTAAAAGTGACTTTTTAATAGAAATGAGAAGTGTTTTTTGAGACAGATGAAAAAAAGAAAAGAGAAAGGTTTTCTGAGACGGAGGAAGTAGAATATTATTCAATATTTTTTTCAAAGTTTTTTATTTGTAAGAAGTCAAATTGAACAAATTAATTTAACTCGGAATATTTTTACATATTTTAATGATTACATGCATATATTTTTTCCAAAAATGATATAGTTAAAAGTAAAAAAATCACAAAATTCACACATTTAATTTTTTTTTACTATTTTAAAGTATGTGCTCCTTTTGGTAGGAATAACAAATGATAAATTTGTGATTTTTGTAATCTTTTTAGAATTAATGATTGTGATACACTAATGTCATGTTCTCTTCAACTTATTTTTATTGAAATCGAATTAGATCAGATCATAAATAGTTACAAATATAACTACGTTTTTATATGTCAAAAATTTATGTTAGAAAAGGGTAGTGCACAACTTGGTGTACTCCAAAAAAATTGATTCTTAGTTTTTTTTTGCTTTTTTTTTTGAGAAAAATATTTTTCTTAGTTGTTGATAAAACATCGCACCCCTATCACCGCACCACGTCCGTGTCCCCACACATTTCTTAAAATAATATAATAAAAAATAAAAAACAAAAAGTAACTTCCGGTGTAAATAAATATACGTACTGTCACTAACCCTAACCCGCCCATCGCTGTCAACTCATTCCCGAACTCCGATTTCCTCAATCAGATGCGCTTCCATGTCCGACATGGCTACGGACCCTCCGCCACCTCCCCGCAACCCATCTCCGCCGCCGGAGATCATATCCATAACCGCCGATAAGCCGATTCAGATCCGCTCCGTTTGGGCCAAGAACCTCGACTCGGAATTCGACTTGATCCGCAAGCTCATCGACGATTACCCCTTTGTCTCCATGGATACCGAGTTTCCCGGCGTGGTTTTCCGCCGCGACCTCCGTTCCCGAGACCCCGATGAGCATTACCGGACCCTCAAGTCCAATGTGGACGCGCTTAAGCTCATCCAGGTGGGGATCACTCTCACTGATGCTTCCGGCAACCTTCCGGATCTCTCCTCACCCTTCCGCTACATCTGGGAGTTTAACTTCTGTGATTTTGATGTAGGGCGGGACGATCACGCACCTGGATCTGTCGAGCTCCTCCGTCAGCAGGGGATAGATTTCCACAAGACTCAATCTTTAGGTGCCGATACCACTCGCTTTGCCGAGCTGATGATGTCATCCGGCCTCGTCTGCAATGACGCTGTCACTTACATCACCTTTCACAGTGGCTATGACTTTGGGTACCTGATCAAGGCTCTCAAAGGCTGTGATCTTCCTGGGACGCTCGGTGAATTCCATGAATTGCTCGGTGTTTTGTTCGGGAACAAGGTTTATGATGTGAAACACTTGATGAAATTCTGTTCGAATCTCCATGGTGGGCTGGACCGCGTTGCCAGTATGCTCGAGCTAAACCGGACGGTTGGGAAATGCCACCAGGCTGGATCAGATAGCTTGCTTACTTGGAGTGCATTTCAGAAGATAAAGAAGGCTTATTTTGAGGACAGAGATGCTCTTACTGAGAAGTATGCTGGCGTTCTTTATGGGTTAGAGACTCTCTCTCCTTAGACTCTCTAGATGTAGAGTCATGGGTTGAAAATTTCCATGTTGATCTGTACAATCCATTTGGTTAATATATTTAAAAAAATATTAATTTCTAGTTGATTTTTTCTATGTTTGATCCTGCATTTTGTATATTTGCATACTAGTTAGTGCACTTGATTGTGTTGAGTTCTGACTTAACATCAAAGTGAGGATTTTCTTTACTTGACATGCTGTCCAGACATAACACACTTGGCAATTTAACTTGTAAAGAATACAATTTCACATTTTAGTAGCATCATGTCTCAATTATATGTTCTTCATTTTCCAACTTATTGATGTCATACCTTCAATTCTAGGTCTAAGACATATGATAGTTTACGTTTTGTAGTTAATCCAAGTTTAAACCATTCATTTCAAAATCCATACTTGCTTAAAATTTTCTAGCGAATTACTGGAATTTGACTTAAGAGAACTGAGAAGTTTAGCTTTATGGGATGGACAGTGAGCTAATTGTTAATGGTAGTTTAGAACATGTGGGTTTGTTATGGTTAATGCTGTCCAGTTTCACGTCTACGTGTGAAGCAAGTTCACAAAAGTAGGATACAAATGATTTAGTCATGATTTGCCAGTTTGTAGAACCTTCTGTTGTGTGGTTTGGACAGTGCATTTAGATGATGTCTGCAACATTAAGCCCTCGTTTGGTATTGTTTTCTGTTTCTTGAAAGCAAAATTATGAATTACGAGAGAGTGTGATTTTCAGTTCTTTGTTGATGGCTTTTAAAATTAACATGGTTAGTTCATTATACAACTTTTATCCTATAACTTAAAGGAAACAGCCTCTCTACTTCCGAGTAGGGGCAAGGTCTGCGTACACACACCCTCCCCAGACCCTAATATAGTGGGATTCAACTGGGATGTTGTTGTTGTTGTTGTATCCTATAACTTAAAAATTATTAACACCAGAACTCAAAAAATGGCAGCCTTACGAAACAAGCCCTAAATAAATTTGTGTTCCTGAAGTTATGCCAAATTACCAATAGATTACCTGTCCGGCTGTCCATTTTCGCATTTGTGACAGATTATTACCAATATTTATTTAATGTCAGAAGTTAATCAGCAGCTTTCTTTTCAGGCTTCTTGTTATATGTATATTTCAAATGCTATCTAATGTAACATTGATCCACCACTAATTCCAGACTGATAAATGACTCATGATTGTGATAAGTGTCTTGTAGTCTTCTTATTATTAGTTTTTACAGTAATAAAATTTGTATCATAGTTCTTAAATGGTTATTGCTGGTTTGGTGCATAGCTCTTTGCTCTATCAATTCTATATCACTTCTTGTTTGGGATAGTGTAATTTCGTTTGTTTCAAGAGTACAGAGTTTAGAGTACCTGATCCTGCATTTTGTATATTTGCATACTAGGAGAGTGTGATTCAGTTCTTTGTAGACGGCTTATAAAATTAACATGGTTAGTTCATTATACAACTTCTATTCTATAACATTAAAATTATTAACACCAAAAACTCAAAAACGGAAGCATTACGAAACATGCCCGAAATAAAGTTGTGTTCCTGAAGTTATGCCCATAGACTACTTATCCATTTTGGCATTTGAGACAGATTATTACAAAGATTTCTTCAAAGTTAGTTAGGAGTTAATCAGAGCATCTTTCTTTTCAGGCTTCTTGCTATGTGTATATTTCAAATGCTATCTCATGTAATGTTGATCCACCACTAATTCAAGACAGAGAAATGCCTCATGATTGTGATAAGTGCCTTGTAGTCTTCTTGTTATTAGTTTTAAAATAAATATTGTATCATAGTTGTTAAATGGTTAGTGCTGGTTCGGTGCACGGATCTTTTCTATATCACTTCTTGTTTGGGATAGTCTAGTTTCGTTTGTTTCAAGAATGCAGTGTTTAGTTTTGGAGATGTAATATTAGTGAACATTAAGTTTAAGATTATCAAGGAGTGACTTATTTGGCTTCAGTAAACAACTGAAGTTGTGCAGTTTTGAAGATGAAGCAAACCTTACCTAAAAGCAAAAACTAATGCTTTTTGACATTCGTGATCATTATGCCGTGAATTGTGAGGAGATTAAACAGAAAACGTTTGCTTTGTTTTCCCCTGGGATTTTTCTCTTTCCGTTTTCCTAGTATAAACAACGGTACACGGTTTTACTTGATCCCATTTCGGAATCAGGGCACTACATTTAGCTTCATTGACTTGAAAAGAGATCACATAATGGGTATGTAATTGCTATTGCTTCTTTCATGTTCTTAATGATTTGATTCATATCCAACAGAACTGGATGGTTGATATGGAACATTAATATAAAAACACTTTGTAGATGGAAACTTGAGAGGTATTTTGTTGTCAGGGAAGGCCAAGGCGTTCATGATTCCATGTTCAATAATGTGCATATATGAACTGTTTGCATCACAGGAATCAAATGAATTTGTGATCTAACATGCAGTTAAACATATGTTAGAATTTCCCATGTTCTCCTTAATGTGCGTATATTGATGTAGTTTGCAAGGCAGACGAATCAAACAATTCCGAGGAAACAGACCAAAGTTGGTGTATTCCTCGTGTTATCAACTTGCAAAGGTATGCCCGCTCTTCATAACGATTATCGACTTGTAAAAATGATAGATTGGGATCTAATTGTGCAAGGAACTAAGGACCTGATCTTCTAGTGTCATCCTAAAGGCCAATCAACATAGAAAATGCACTTCTTCCCAATGTATTATGTACAAACACAACACACACTCTTGGTTTGTATTTATATGTCTGAGTTGGTCCATTTTTCTTGTTCCATTTTATCAGTCTACTTATGAAATATTTGCACAATGATTGTCATTCTCTCACTTTGTGCTTGGAGTCTTTCTCCTTACATTCCACTGTCTGCCTTTGATCTTATGGTGCTTTTCTTGCCTTTAGTTTGCTCTTTGATCTTTTTGTGTAGACACGCCCTCTCGAGACCATGTTGTTGCGCGGGATTCTACTAGATTGTTGTTGTTGTGTAGATAATAAGCATTACATAGTATGACATAAGTTAATGAATGATTTAATGGGAAGTGAGTCCATTCTCTTTTTTCTCAATTTTGTCAAAAGCTAAAATTGAAGTAAATGTTAAATGATTATGATCGTGCCACTACTCAAGAGAAGGTTGCGAAATTCCTTCATATCATAGCCTATAAAGTTTGATCAAGGTTAAAATTTAAAAGTTATGTTTCAAAATTAATCTATTGTCTAATGATACGGAGTATTAAATTTATACCACAATTCATTACTTTCTTTTTTTTTTGATAATTTGAAGTAAAAAATTAAAAATGTTAATTATTTAAAGCCAAAGAAACAAAGTGGATGCAGAAGTATCTTTAACCTACATCTATCTAAAAAAGATAACCACAAATTAATTTGTTTGGTCAAACTGTGACATACTTTGACTATAAATAAAATATAGTTTTAAATAATTATTAAATGTTATAAAATTTTGATATATCAAAACTATATTTTATAATTATTCTAGTTTTACTAAATTTATTTTATATTTTGACTTGATCAAAGTGCAGCCCAGCCGTGTTGAGATGTTATATTACAAAAGTTTTCAAGGCTCAAGCCCAGTTCTGCCGGTATAGGGAACATCCAAGCCTCGTCTAGTATGGATACCTGCAGACTAAGTAATGTGGTAGTTCCGTAGTTGCTAAGTAATGTGGTAGTGAATCTAAAGTTTAGGAATAGTTACTAAGTAGTGCGGTAGTGGGCATAAATTATAGGGATGGGTAGTTATTTGGTTTCTATAAATATTGAGGTTCATTATTTGTAAAACTATTGAGAAAGTAATTCAATATTTATTATTGGAGATTTTTCTTGGCTTTATTATGTACTCCCTCTGTCCCATTTTAAATTGTCTATTTTTTTTTCTTCATCCGAAAATAAGTTGCATGTTTCTTGCTATCGTAACCTTTTAAGAGTAAAATACATAAACTATTCCTAAAATAAGTCAGTCTTCTCCATCTTATCTTCTCATTCATCGTTACCCCTCCTAAAAAGTAATGACAATTTCAAAAAGTCAATTCTATTTTTTTTCTTCCTTAAATATGTTCCAAAGTAAAAAAGGACGATTTAAAACGAGACGGAGGAAATATATGAGTTTAAGATTCTTGCTCATATTTTGATAAAGATTTCCCTTGATCTTCAATATTTTATGAATTTAGGTTTTGATTTCATAATTTGATAAAGATTATCCTTCATTTATTTCCCCCACCAATCTTGAGTTCTACCAATCTTCCTCATTATTCTTCTCCCTTCAGAGTTCACATGCATGTTTTCGTCGTTCTTTGTCTACAACAGAGTCTTGATCTAGGTACCTAACACTTAAGATTCCATCAATGGTGCTCTTTGAGAGTGTTAGAACACATCATGATGCCTAAAACTTCAACTAGGCGTTGTGCAATTAGCAAGACAAGGAGTGTCTCTAAAAGTACCCGGTGTAAGTTCCATTCTTTGCCACCAATCTGCGATCAAAATCTAATTTACCTCTTTTCAGTGACAGTCCGGCCGGGTCTGAGAGAACCCCCGGGATGAGGCTCATCCTTTTTTTTCAAGACGAGTTACAAGATAGGTTTTGTTATTGGTCAGTGATGCACCATTGGAAATCATTTCCTCATGTCCAAAAGGGAGTGCTGCTTGTATTTCTTTTGTGCTCACTGGTAGAATGTGGGGAACACCTAAAAGCTATATATACCCACTCCATTGATGCATTCTTGAGGACGTGAGGTTCATGGAGCAAACCATATGATCTTTATTTCTTTGTTATCTCAATTATCCACACTTCGGAAAGGCTATATTTGATGATCTTTAATTATTAGTCATTACATATCCTTGAATAGAGTGATTCACCAATCTCTCCAAGGCCGATCGGCTCGTGACTTGCCCTCGTGGCTTAGCTCGAATTTGATATTATTGTATCTAATTTGAGTGGGATTCCTGCTCGTATCAGCATCACATTTACTTCTACGGATTGGGTTGTTCATCAATGCTTCACGCTGCAAGCCCGACGTGTGCGGTCCACGGCTCAGGCCAAAGACCTCACTCGGCACAACTACTTTTGGTCACTCAACCTCTTCGGGCAAGCCCCATGTCGTACTCTTTCGCTTGGACACGGGCTCCTCTTAAGCGCCTTTGCAGGGGGAGTCGAATCCCGAAGTGCTCACTTTGGGAGGGCACTCCAAAGAGACGAAGAGCAGACGATGAATCTTAAGGGTGGGTTTGCCCATCCCTTAAGAAGAGGTCCTCTCGACACTTAATCCCGCAGAGGGTACCAATCAACCACCTCGCCACTTGAAGGCCAACAACACCTATCAAGTGTCCTTGTAGGGGGAGCCAAATTCCCACACGAGCCAACCTGAGGAAGGGTGCTCTGAATGAGGTGAAGAGAACAGTCCTGCTTAGGACACAACTCAGTATTTCCTGTTCTTTTAGTTGATGCTGGAACCTGGCTGATCAACTTCTGCCAGCAGTTTCATTTCCTGATAGAGAAAACGCAAAAATAAGTTAATTATCACAAATGAATAACATTCAATTAAAAACAAAATGACTAGGATTTTTCTTCCTCCAAGATGGAGACACTTTTTGCACCTTGTCTTCTGTATCAATTGAACCCATCAAATTTGATGTCGTCTGCATTCTTTGACCAGCTGGAACAACATATCTATTCTTTGCCTCAAACCTGTCTCTATATATATATACCACCAAAATTTGGCCCTCCTTTGTCCTGGGCAATGAAAGTATGATTTGAAAAAAATCTAGAGGTTCGTATATCAAAAATCTTAGTGTAATTGTATGATGTTGAGTGTGAAGCCAGGAAGCTAGGTGGAAGCTAACAGGAAATTGGCAGGAAGCTACCTAGAAGCTTACGGCTTAATCATTGTCTCCCTAACTAATCTCTATTTAAGAGATGCTAATGTGCTTGTAATGGTGTGCAACAAAAATAATAAAATCCTCCTAGTTGCCCCGTGTGGACGTAGGTTGCAGTTGGCGGCCGAACCACGTTAAATCTTGTGTCATTTATTTTTCTGCAGTTGATTCGTGATTGTGTGTTGTTTCCGCGTGCGTTTATTCCCAACAAGTGGTATCGGAGCGTTGGTTCGTTAAGACACCGAAAATCCAATCAGCAGAAACTAATCAGAGGAGTGTCACCTGGGTTCTTTGGAGAAGAACTGTGTGCAGCAGCACGAGCCGGAGTGAGGGCCGCTGCCGCCGGAGCACCACCATCCTCGTTGATTCCCACGGAGCACTACCGCGCTTGAATCGGAGAGCCGCAGCAGGAAGTAAGTCCCGTGAGACTCACCGCTGCCGCCTTCAATCGAGCAGAACCAGACCGCCGCCGTTGCTGGTTCGAGGGGGACCGCAGCAAGCGAAGGAGTTGCTGCCACCGTCACCCCGCTGTTCAGATCGCGCCGCCGCGTTGAAGAGCCGTCGCTGTTGTGAAGGGCCGCAACCGGATCTGAAGAGTGAACCACAGCCGCTGGTTCGGAGTTGTGCAGCAGAGGAGAAGCCGTTAGTTCGGGGGAGATCTGCGCAGGTGTTCGCCACCATCAGTGAGCCGCCGCTGCATCCCTTCTAGCGCCGTTGTCGACCTCTTGGATTGCGAGGCCGTGCAGAAGGCAGTCCAGCCGCAGAGCCGCCGCCAGGTTGAGAAGCCGTTTCAGATTGCGCCGCCGCCGTCAGATCAGATCGTCGCCGCCATCAGGAACCGTTCGTCGAGATCGCAGCTGCGAGCCGTCACCGCCATCCAGACTTTGAGCTGCCACCGTCCATTTCCGCCGCGCAGAGACCGCTGCCATCTTCTCCTGCTTGACCAATTGAAGCCTCCGATCCAAGGAGCTGAAATTTTGGGGGGCAGGTGCGAAGAAAAAAAAAGGGCTGGCCGGTTGCAAAAAGAGAAAAGGCAGTGGTCACTGGTCAGCCTTTCTCCATTGTTTTTGGGCCGTAGCATTTTTTTTTGGTAGGTTGGTTTTGGGCTTGATTGATTGAAGTGGTGGACCTGTTTTTCTAATGAGAAAAAAAAATACCAAGATCTGAAATTAGTTGTACCAGGTATTTCGTCTAGTCGTTTAAGATGGCAGAAGACGGGAAGTTCCAAATTGAGAAGTTCGATGGTACAGATTTCAGTTGGTGGAAAATGCAAATTGAAGATTTGCTGGTTCAGAAAGATTTGGACGTGGTATTGGGTGACAAGCCAGAAAAGATGTCGGATGCAGATTGGGCAGGTTTGGATCGGAAAGCTATGTCCGTGATCCGTCTCTCGTTGACCAAGAATGTTGCGTTCAACATTCTGAAGGAGAAGACAGCGAAGGGAATTATGGATGCGCTGTCTAACATGTACGAGAAGCCATCTGCAGCGAACAAAGTTTTTCTGATAAGAGAGCTGGTAAACACAAGGATGAAAAATGGCACTTCAGTTACCGAGCATATCAACAAGTTGAATTCGATCTTAGCCAGACTTTTGTCAGTGGGCATTAAGTTCGATGATGAAGTTCAAGCTTTACTACTGTTATCGTCATTGCCTGACACTTGGTCCGGAACTAATACAGCAGTTACCAGTTCAGCGGGACCTGACAGATTCACTTTTGAGAAGATTCGTGACCTCGTTCTTGGCGAAGATGTCAGAAGAAGGAGTTCTGGTGAGTCTTCGGAAGAATCACTAAATATCGTCAGAGGTAGAGGAAATAACAGAGGTAGTGGGAGCAAGAACAGACAAAGGAGTCGATCGAAGACTCGAGATAGCTCAGGCGTAACATGCTGGAAGTGCAAGGAGGTGGGGCATTTCAGGAATCAGTGCCCGAAAGAGGTTAAGCAAGTGAAGATTGCTAGAGGCTCCGCGAGCGACGAGGATTTGTTTATCTGTTGTGCGGAGAGCAGTGTAGATTCCTGGGTCATGGATTCTGGTGCTTCATTTCATGCTACCCACAGCGGTGAAGCATTGCAGAATCTAGTTGTTGGGGACTTTGGAAAGGTACGACTAGCAGACGACGGAGCTCTTGATGTGACGGGCATGGCTGACATAGTGCTGAAAACCCCTGTCGGTTTCTGGACTTTAAAGGATGTTAGAGTGGTTCCAGCCTTGAAGAAAAGTTTGGTTTCTGTTAGGCAATTGGACGAACAGGGACACGAGGTGAAGTTCGGAAATGGGCAGTGGAAGGTCGTGAAGGGAAATCTTGTCATGGCCCGTGGAAGGAAGAGAGGTTCGTTGTATATGGTCGAGTTACCATCTGAGGGAGTGACCGTCCCAATTCAGAAGAAAAACGAAGTCCGGTTCACAGAGTCTCGTGGGCAGAAGAAGGTTTTCTATGCAAGAAAGAAACCCAGAGCCACAGGTCAGACTCAGGATAAACGAGCGAGGAAAGGTTCAATGAGGCCAGTCAGAGGTATCTGTGGCAGTGGGAGCACAGGTTTT